CAAAGACATCATCCATACATCTTCCGTATCCACAATCACTTCATCCATTGTATCATAGAGAAAGTATAATTTCATTAAAGGCATTAACTATAATAAAACCACATTATCACGAACATCAAATGTACATCATCCATAACAAAACCACATTGTCGAAAACATCATCTATTCCATTAAAGATCATCCATAAAAGCAGAGAAACATCATCCACATAGGTGGTAGTTGGGTGGGTGTCCAATATCATGAACATCAGACTAACCTATTTGGCTCTCTTTTTATAAATTTTAGTCCAATGTCTTGAACATCAAACCCTATATTTCAAAACAAAAACTATAAACTATAGGGTAGTTTGAGAATTCAAACCTCGGACAAGTCCTTATGTTTCAAAATTTTTACAAAAATAAAATAAAAACGCAGTCCGATATTTTCAACATTGGAGTGAGGGGCAAAATTGAAAAAAAATAGACATACAAATAAATTTTCCATAAATTTGAACCAGTCCATAATTACAAAATTTAATTGTCTGGACATAATTTTTTCTTTTACATAAACCATGGTTTTTGTGTTCCTTTCACTTAAATCTAAAGTTGATACTTGAAATTTAGGGAATGTATTTCAATATTTCCATGGTATTAGAAGGTCATCGTCATTCCTAATTATCAGATGTGAAATCAGATAGTCAGGAATATCTGACAAAATTCAAAAGAAGAAAAGGAAAAAATTTTTTGGGGCTAAGCAAATAATTTATCACTTGCATGATTTCATATCTAATGGTTAAAGATGATTGTGATCTTGTTGGGTACCAAAAATTATGCATTTCCTATGGTCAACATTCATTACCATATTTTTGAAAGCATCTACCCAAACCAAGACTCAATCCTACAAAATTAGTTCTCTCATAGGAGCATGTTGTACATATGCTCTCTTGAGCAAAAAACCTACTTAGGGAATTTTCTTGATCACAAATTATTTTTTTAGGAGGATTTACTTGTTCAAATTTTTTTTGGTCAAACTTTAGAATCTCTAGATGCATACCCAAAAAAAAAAAAAAAGGATATTAGTTTTCAAATACCTAGATCTAACCGTCCAAAACTTGATGCTAAATTTAGTACGTTACATCTCCAAAAATCTAGGGTTCCAAGAAATGTTTCTCCTGAGGGAGCAAATATACACACTACTCCCATAGGAATATATAATCTTTTCAATTTAAAAAGATTTGTAGATTGTCATAAATGGTACTAGTTTGATTATAAAAATTTAGAGAAATATTACCAATCTTATGAGTCCAAAATTTTGTAGAACTCAAAAAGGACGTGTTTGATTCAGGAAGTTGCGGCTTTAGAACTAGGAGCTTCCCGCAATTATACCTGCAACTTCCAAAATAACATGTAAAATGAGAAGTGGCGACTAACACTAAAAAAAAATTGGTTTATACCAATGGTTTAAAAAACGGATCAGTGACCCGGATCGGGCTCTCAAAAAACCGATCCGGATCGGCGAATCGGCTATACGGATCGGGAATCGGGTGAATCGATCAGAATAAAGCTTAAAAAAGATCCGAAAAAAATATTAAAATTCATTATAAATATTGTTTTTTAGGAATTCAATAAAAAATGAGGGTACTCCATTAAGAATTTTCATGTTTTTGAATGAATATGCGAATATTGATATGTTCTTTCCCTGCATGAACCGCCATTCAGCATTTAATTTACATCACACAAAAGGATAAACATAGAATTATCATGGAATAAATATATCAACATACATGAACTACAATAAAGCATAAAATTAGTAACATATGATCTAAAAATAAAATGATAGACGATGTTATTGCTCTTCTTGGTCACGCTGGTGCCATTGATTGAATTCGTTTAATAATTCATTGATTCGATCTAAAAACGAATCATCGATATTAGCAACCGTCTGACTATTTCTAAATCCCTGAGTGTTAGTGTTTTGTTGTGTTCCTAATCTAAAATCCCCGAAGATTGTCCATCCTTCATGCTCACCTGCACTGTTGTGCTCATCCCTACACTGTTGCTGTTGGGACTCGATATGTGAATAATATGGCTGGGATAGGGTGGCCTCAGAATCATCATCTCTCTCATTTTCTCTTTGAATAATATGGATTAAAAAAAAAAAAACAAATTTTCAAAAAAATCGATATGGATTAAAAAAAAAAATCCCAAATTTTCAAAAATTTTTATCATGGATGACAAAAAAAATTCAATCATGGATTAAAAAAAAAATCACAAATTTTCAAAAAATTCTATCATGGATTACAAAAAAAATTCGATCATGGATTAAAAAAAAAAATCACAAATTTTCAAAAAATTCAATCATGGATTACAAAATATTCGATCATGGATTACATAAAATTCGATCATGGATTACATAAAATTCGATCATGGATTACAAAAAAAAAAAAAAAA